CGGGTGCCTGGCCGGGAACTGCAGGCGAAGAGATGACGGCAATCATGCGTCGAAACGCCGCAGTCGGGTATAGACGGGTCCAGCCAGTGTTGGTACTGGCGAAGGAGCGTGCAGTAGCCCTCTGTGCTATCTGTGTATGCGCACGTTTGCGTTTTCGATTCCAGCTGGTGGTCAATGTCATGTTTTGCTGAATGAAGGCGAATAAGCCCGAAACAGTTCTGTATCAATTTACTCCCATATCACCTACACAAAGTGTGTTTGCTTCGTGAAGCTAATGAATTTCTGTGCGTCCATTCCTGAGTGAGTAGATATGTATATAATGCGCAATTTCGAGAGTCAAGTCTGCTTTTTGCCCATCGAGCGTTATCAAGTCTAGCGCTCTACCATAACTCTATGAGCCCGTTGTCCTGTCTGTTTCTACGGAGAATAGTTAGGAAGAAGTTCACCTGCTCATCGAAGTCTGTCCCAGATTCGATGAACTGCCCCAGTGGGCAGTCGCACAGGAGGCGGATAAGAACCAATATGATTACTGGGATGACCATTTACGGTTTCTTTGAAGCTATAAATGGCTATTCGAGCTATCCTGGTCTTCGTCGGGAATTATATCGGGAAATGGGATGCGGTTATGAAATAAAAAGCTTTACTGAAAGCACTCAACCAATGATAAGAACGCAGCTGTCCGCTGTAAATTGACAATTTTTTTCAAGTTCACTTAATATCAAAGGAAAGGGCCGATGGATTTCGAGAATACGTTTTTGACAGGGTTTCTGGACGACAATAAGACACATAATAAGGTTTTTGCGGCTTCAGCAAAACTCTTCCCTAGAATGTGTCAAATAACGCGCTCTTTATCATCCGCTTAAGGAAACAGTGATGTCAGTTGAGTCATCAATACATAAAAGGGGGTGGCTATTCACGGGATGGGACTGTATCAGTCCATTTATTCTTGCAACTTCTCTCCGTAGCGCCTGAAGCTAATCTTTATTCTGGTGAGTTATTACTCATCAGTAAATACGGTGTGATCATATATATAT